CGTTTTTCATTTCAATTACTTGAATTGATTGTTTGTATCAAATACACTATAAATTCTTTAAGAGTGTGTTTGATTTGCGTGGAAAATATCTCATAGAAAAGAAAATGTTTTCCTTAAAAATAAGGAAAATTAGATAAATTTTCAAAAGTTGGAAAAAATAGCAATTAAACACTCTAAAATCGAAATTTGGATGAAAACTAACATTTTATGAAAAATAAATGCAATCAAACACGCCCTAAAAATAAATATGCATTTTCTTGTGATGAACAAAATATTACTAAAATGATTGTTCAAAATCAAATGCATAAAAATGATGAGTAAAATATTAATGAAAGATTTTTTAAAACATAAATACGCATTTTTTGAGGTTAAGTATGAATCTTTCAAAATATAAGAACAAAGTGTTTGATTTGTATAGGGTTTGATTGTGCTTTCTAATTCAAAATGCCTGTATCCATCACTGTTTTTGTACTTAATGAAGTTTGCAATAATTGAACTTAAAGCTTGTCGATGATCCTCGATATGACATCTAATGTGCATTTATGATCATTCTTTTTGTAAAGTGTTTTGAGCATACTCATTTTTCCAACTTAACAATGAAACTTTTTCCTTATTCGGATGAAGTATGATTCCTTATTTTATAAAAAGAAGTAAATTGGAGTTTGGTCCCCAAAAGTCGTGTAATATGGTGTTTTTCTCACATAGAGTTTTAGTAGTGTAATAAATAAGTTCAAATATTATGGTATCACAAATTTAGTTTATTAAATAATTTACATTTATAGATTTTACTTTTTGAAATAATAAATTTTATATTAATTTAATGTACTATTGATTAAATGTTTGAATATATTGGTATATTAAAACATAATTTCAACAAAATTTTAAATAAAAAATAAAACTTTATTGCTTGAAATATCATATTATGCCGTTAATCATTTGATATTCTCATTTTATTTATAATAATCACATTGCTAAAAATAACCCTCAACAAGTATAGGGTTCGGGAGAATTAAAAAAAAAAAAACTTTGGAGTATTGCTACTTCCTATTATATAAGTTGCATAATATTTTAGTCCCGTGTTTGATGGCCATTAGAGCATCTTCAAGGAGTTCTTTAAACATAAAATGCTCCATATTTTAAAAAGTTAATTTTTAAAATTGTGTTCCAAGAGACTTTTTAAATTAACATTTTAATTTAGTAGGTGAGTTTCGCTCTCTAAATTTGGAGCTACTCTCTATAATTAAATGCATTCAAAACATTATATTTTTCAATGTAAGAAAATAATACAATAATTTGAATGCAAGCTAGTAAAAATAAAGAATAGAAAAAAAATAATAAATATTTTTTGAGAGTAGTAAAATTAAATGTTAGATATAAAGACCTGGTTGAAGTATTTAAAAATTTTTACTGTCTAAATTCATAGGCGTTTTCTAAATTATAGAATACATTCTTTAAAATAAGAGAGTAACTTGGAAACACTCTTATCGTGTAAAAAAAATATTTTGAATAGTAATTTTTCGAAAAATGTGTGATTAAAAAGTATGAAAAATGTTGAGTTTATTTGCAAGATATTTTATTATATGACTGTGTGGTTAAAAAAGGGTATGCGAAATAAATTATTTTGTTTTAAAGGGAGTCAAACAAGGTCTTATTTATGAGTTTTTTGAATTTTGAAAACAATTTTTTTATTTTAAATTATGAGCATGTTTGAACCCTATTTTCTATTAAAAAAAAAACTTTAAAATTATTTTCGGAATCTGATGTTTTTCATGCAAGGCAGATTATAATATTCTCACTTTTTTTTTTTTTTTTTTTTNAATAAATTTTTATTAATTGGTTACTTTTCATTTAAAACAAAAAACTTGAAAAACTTTTGTTGAATCTAATTTAGCCCCTAGTTGGTAAAAATTAAAATTAAAATGTTAATCTAAATTAAATTCAACAATTAATTTTAATCACATATTTTATGAACCCTACGATTTTTCAAAAATAATGCTATGTAACAACACCGGGATTGTAACTCTAATTTAGGTTCATTTAGTCTATTATCTAACGTCACCTAAATTGAAATTGCAACCTCAAAGAGACTAAATAGTATTACTCATTTTTCAGTCATTCATTTTGAGCATGTTTGCTCATGATTAAAATCCAATTTTAATTGAAAATATGGTTATTATTGGGTCTCACTATTCTAATAAAAATCAACAATAACGATTAATTTTTCAATTTTAATTTCTACCGAACACGCCCTTTATCAAATTCTATTAAAATTTATTAAAAATCTAATTTTAATATCCAGAGCTTAAGTTAGGATGATGAGTTGGGTCCCACGCCATTAACATTATTAACATTTAACCCGACATTTAGTTATCCTTAATCAAGTCTAGCAGAAGCCTTCACGCACGCGCGTTTTAGGAGCGTTGATTCAAACAACACCACACCTCAAAGTCTCCAAAGGCTGAAGGGACGCTTCCCCGATCCTATTTTTGCCTGCCATTGTCGAAACCTTCAAATAAATTTCCCTCACTTTCTCCCCCCTCACTCACATCCATGTATATTTGTATAAATTTACCATCTTAACCATATTTTCTCTCTCTCTCTCTCTCTCTCTCTCTTTCCCTTGTCTCTTTTCGATGAGCAATTGAAAGGAATTGTGATCGCCGGCAAATCGTTTGGTTAGAAAAGCCCATTTCTTTAATTTGTAAACAGACACTTGAAGAAAGGTTGGTCCCTTTTCTTTTCAAGAAAAAAATCACCGGTTTAAATACATTCGTGTTTGTTTTGGCATTTCAAGTCATATCAATTGTAACGGGTTCTTGTTTGAATAGTTCTTAATTAGTTATTTATTAGTTGACGATTCTATTATAATTAGAACTTGCGCTTAAGCTTAGTTTTGAGATTTAACTAACTTACAGAAGAGTATGAATTTGGCTTCTTTGTTTATGCCTGAATTCTGATCACAGTTCAGGTGGTTTACGATTTGACTAGATGTCTTTCCACCATTTTTAGTTCATATATCTCGTTTTCTATTATTATTCCGAACATTTACATCTAATAAGCAGGATTCCCAAGGTTAAATACTAGGCATTGTGGGGTTTGTTCAAAACTGTATGCATCTCGGCTCGCTAAATAAGGTGAACTGAATTGTCCCATACTAAAATTAGGTGTACAGATTGTACATGAATGGATTTTATTATGATGGATAGAAACTTTGGGGGTTGAATTGTACTACGAAGTTGGTTTTCAAATAAGAAATTATGGACGACGTAGCTCAAGCTTACTACCTTGGAAACCAATTAGTTTGGCTCTTCCTAAATTATGACGTTCCTACTAAATTATAATCATTAAGCAATTATCTAGAATATATATGCCATGTGCTCTATGGGCTTCTCTCTCTCTCTCTCCAAAAATTAGAAACAGACGTATAGTATGAGAGAAGCGGATTGAGATTGTAGAACTGCATCTCACCTTATCGATGAACTTATATATTTTATGTTTTGAATGTGCATATATCAATTCTGTTCCATTACACGTGGATATAAATTTTTCAAGTAGTGTGTGAGCAGGTTTATTTAAAGCCCTTACCTAGCTTGACAGTAGAGGACCCCGTTTTCAAGACTGGTCTTAGGACTAATAGTTAGGGTGTCAATATCGTATAAAAGTACCAAAAGCTTGTTTTAAATTGAGCTATGTAGGTTGTGAAAGTCTAAGGCTCTTCTTTGGTATACATTATTTTTTCATTCTCATTCATTTACTCATTTTCAACCACACATTTTTCAATAAAATAATATTTTCCATCACATCAATAACTTTTCTTTCCTTTTCAACCACACACTCTCCATCAATTTACTATTCCATAATACATTCTTTCAAAATAATGTGGCTCAAACACACCCTAAATTGTAAATGAACTGGAGTAGGTATGTACTATAGCTTGTGAATTTTTGAGTGGATTTCTGTTCTAGGCAAAAAGTGTCAAAAGAGTTTGTTATCACGTAGGTAGAATATTACGGGTATCATATTGAGCAGTGTGATGAAATGAAATAATTAGTATAGTAATGTAAATATGCCAAAAAGCAACATATCTATATTTACTAATAAATTTTAGTAAGCCTTCAGGAGCCATGGCTCTGACAGGTGTCCTAGGCATCTTCCCATGCTTGTCCGAAAGGCACAACTATATAAGCACCTATTTCTCGCAGGTAATGAAGGTTATGCATTTATTCAAATTTTCTTGATTTTTCATTTTGGTTGCCGTAAACATCCATGTTTTGTCAATTTGAAAGCTGATGCCTCAAGGAACTCCATCGTCCTTAGCCAACTCGAAGTAGAACCCATCTATTAGATGTTTGGATGTAACGTCTTATACCAAATTTTGCCCATGTTTGGCCTCCATTCTTAAAATGCATTTTTCCCAAATTCACTTTCAACCATACATTTCATGGGACTCTCAACTGTATCTGTTTTTTTCACATTTCACCAACTTTTATCAAAATATACTAAAAATCTAATTTTTATCTGCATAAGTTTTTTTAAGTGGTATCTTACTTTTATTTTATTTTCTGCCAGGTATCTGCCTTATGCATGTGACAATGGAAGCACCATGTCAATCAGAGATCAATGGGCAAAACTTGTTGCTTCCACCTCAACCAGGAACATTTCAAGATCGTGACGACCTTATCAAATATGTTCGTGATTTTGGTGCCAGCCAAGGGTATGTGGTGACGATCAAAAAATCTAAGAAGGATAGAAGAGTTTTACTTGGCTGTGATAGAGGAGGTGTTTATCGTAATAGACGCAAGATTGAAGATAACAAGCGCAAAAGGAAAGTGAGTTCACGCCTCATAAATTGTCCTTTTGAAGCTGTAGGTAAAAAAGATGATGATGTTTGGGTGCTTACAATTAAAAATGGTGAGCACAACCATGAACCTTTGAAAGACATGTCTGAGCATCCCTATAGTCGTCGTTTTACAGAAGAAGAGGTGTGGCAAATCAAGTTAATGACAGAAGCTGGCATCAAGCCTCGTCAAGTGCTCAAGGCCCTGAAGCAGACAAATCCAGATCTTCAGTCAACACCAAGGCATCTTTACAATGTCAAAGCTAAAATCCGTCAGGGGAATTTATCAGGTTTAATGCATTACGGTCTTATTAGTTGAAAGTACCTGTTTGCTGATAGTTGAAGATTCCTCCATCACATCCTTTCAGTTAACTGGTGCATATTTCCTAAATGGATCTTTAAGTGGTCATGTCGGGCTTGTAGTTGGTAATTTATAGTAATATTAAGATAAATTTCATAACAGTATGGTGAGTTCCTGGGCATAGCAGATGCTTCCGATGAGGCAAGGATAAAAGAGTTGGTTTTGGTAATAGCAAGAAAATGGTTACGAGAAGGACCTGTTATAGCCAAGTTTGGGAACTTACATGGTTGGAAGCTCTATCATTATAAAGGAAATAGAGGTCAAGAGGGGAAGAGAGGAAATTCGAAAGAGCAAAAGGATAGTTAGTTGAAATTGTTTTTCTGGAAGGAGGACAGTAATGGTTTTCGTTTTTTGGGGTTGGTATATTGAAGTTTTCATATAGAGGTTGATTGCTACAGCTAGAGTTTTACAAGTAAGCTGGGTTGAATATATTAAAAACCTGGTGCACGTCACTAAAAATCTTGTAAAAACAAAATAAGTTTTTTTTTTGGTAACCAATGCAATGGCATTCGCCCCTTTGTTGTGTTTCGATAAAGCAAATGACTCATGGGTAAAAATTTCTAATTCAATCTGTTCACTGATCATATGTTGGGCTGTAGAATCTGTTAAATGTAGCACCTAAGTTCTTATTTCATTGCAACTTTCTCTAAGACAGCATGATATGAGGTTGTTGAAAATTCAACTTCAGTGTTGTTATCTCAGATAATGTATAAACATTCTAAACTAAAATGCTGTGGTAGAACTCCTAAATCTTTAGTCTGTGCCATAGCTAGATTTTTAATTTTGTTGCAACTTTTGCCAAGCTAGGATGATGTTAGCTTGTTGCAAATTCATCTGAGGTGATTGTGTCTTGGATGAAATATAAACGTGTAGACTAAGAATTATTTAGTAAATAAATTGAGTGCATAGGTATGTCGTTTTTTTTTTGTCCTTTTTTCATTAATTGTTGTTCCTTAGACAAAGGTGTATCTTCTTGTGGCTTGGATGCTGGGATCTTGAATCCTTAACTTTACACAAAAACGAGGACACTGGCTATTAGGTTATCTAGCTTAGCAATTTCATTGGTTAGTCAAGTGATAAAAAAAGTTTCATGCACTGTCACTGCTTACACGGAATTTAGATTGACATTTGAAATCGTTAATTATCTTTCCTAGAATAAAATGCTATCATTTCTGCAGATAAAGGTTTTAAATCATGGATACCCAATGTGTCTTCTGTTCCTGCAAGCACATCAATTGAGACTTCAACATGCATCTGCCCTGTAAGTTTTGATGTAAGAGAATATGAGCTTGTTTGGTAGGGATTTTTGGGGGAAGAATTGATTTTTGAATAGTGTTATGAAGGGAAATGTGTGGTTGAACAAGAAGAAAAAATTATTGATGTGATGGAAAATATTATTTGATTGAAGAATGTGTGGTTGAAAATGAGAATTGATTTGAGAATCAATTCTCAAATCACTACCAAACCCCCCCTATATATGTTAAGCCTTTTTATATACTATTTATTTCTCTTGGTTCCTTGTCCAAATGACAGTTGACACTAACTTTTGACTTTCTTTTCTTTGCTGGTGGTCTGAATTCAATTGTAGCTGAAGGTTACTAATTATATAGGTGGGAAGTTTGTGGAATCCCAGGCATGTGAAATAATTGATGTTATAAATCCTGTAAGCTTAATCTTCGGACTCTGATTCCTATATATCATTTTTTCTTTCTGAGAGCTACTTGTGGTGTACGGGGTCTAATGGATCAGTAAAACAGGCAACACAAGAGGTTATTTCTCAAGTTCCCATGACTACATATGAAGAGTTCAAAGCTGCTGTAACTGCTGCTAAACAGGCTTTCCCTGCATGGAAGAACACAGCTGCTTCCACTCGTCGGAGGATCATGTTCAAGTTGGAGAATCTCATCCGCAGAGATATTGTATGGACGATTTATTTCAACTTCTGGTAACTAAATTTCAATAAACATTGGCATTTTTGTATGTGCAGGAGAAGATTGCCATGAACATTGCTACAGAGCAGGGGAAGACATTGTATGGTGCCAAAGGTGATCTGCTCTATGGTTTAGGTAACCTGCCTCGTGTCTTGCTGTTTTTCCTCTTCTATTTTTTTTCTCTCTAATTTCACTAGTTTGAAGTATAATTTTAGCTCAACCTAGTCCTTCCTTTGCTTGTAGAGGTAGTTGAACAAACATGTGGTATGGCTACTCTACAAATGGGGGAGTATTTACCTAATGCTGCTAATGGAGTCGATGCATATTGCATTAGAGTTGGAGAACCACAAACACGACCCTTATGTCCCTCGAGCTTTCCTTCAATGATTCCCTTATGGGTATGTGTATGCTTGTTATAGTGTGTTTGTGGGTGTCTGCTGCCAAATTTTCTGAATTATATTGAATTAAAAAAGTGTTCTCATATGGAAATCCTGAACTGTTACCTCTTACTTTCCAAGATGCATACCGTTCTTTGATTCATGTCTTTGGACACGATAAAAACTACTAATATTTTTACATCGAGTTCTTCAATCTAACTTAGTCAGTAAGCTATTTTAGTCTAATTTATGGTTTAAGTGCGCCCAAAGCTTTCTTTATTATAGGCCCTGTTTGAGCCATATTATTTTTTTCATTCTCATTCTTCTACTCATTTTTAACCACACATTCTTTAATAAAATAATATTTTCCATCACATCACTAACTTTTCCTTCTTTTTCAACCACATATTCCCCATCACATCAAGAGTAAAAATGCGTTCTTTTTCCAAANTCACATCAACAGTAAAAATGCGTTCTTTTTCCAAAAATGTGCACCAAACGGGGGCATAATTGCTTACTTCATTGTACCTAATCTCTTGTTTTTTGCGGCTAAATTTCTCTCTGTATTTGCTGTTTCATGTACATATGTGGAGCAATATAAAAAATCTTGTTTTTGAGTGCACGTTTACTGCTTTCACAGATGTTTCCTATTGCTGTTACGTGTGGAAATACATTTATTCTGAAGTCATCAGAACATAATACAGGTGATTGCCATCAATCTCTTTGCAATTTTATCATATCTTTTTGTGCTTCATAATCTTAATGATCAGTCTATGAAGTTGAGTTTCTCTCTAAAGCATTTGTAATGTTTGTAAACTTGAGTTGCCAACTGGGAGATGTCCCAGGAAGTACAACAGAAGATTAAAAAATGGATCTGGTGACTTAGAATCTATGACGGAATGAGAAAGAAGTTCAATAAGTAAATGAAGTGGAAACTCACATATTTTGAAACGGATGTGTCAGAAAAAGGATAAGCATGGTTATATCTTTGTAGACTATTGACATGACTCTGTTAGTGGTTCATCATAAGTTGTAAAGACAATTAAACTGGTGAGGAAGAGTGGTTAGTGTTAATATTGGAGGGGGCAGCATGTATGAATTCACTCAAGAAAGCAAGATACTGAGAAAAGATGTGGCAGTTCATTGTCTTGTGTAGTGTATAGCGTACTATGAAGTAAGTTGCATGTAAAATTCTTGTTGATGATGCCCTTGATAGTTAGGGTTCAATCAAGCTGACTGGATTCACTCTGTTATCTAGCGTTTTCTAGTTATTTTGACGTTAAGATTCTTTTGATTGTTCTAGATAAGTGGTGGCATATTTTCATAATATTTCTGTCAGTCCATAACAATTCCTCCAATGTTATTGTCACAAGGGTGCCTCATCTGTGCAAATAGTTGACTAAATCAGGCTTTAGGGGAGAAGGTTGACAACAATTGATACTGCAACCAAGATAAAGATGCCAAACAAATTCTTGTTAGCTACTGAAGTTGTCATAACATTTCACTCATGATGAAAAAAATATGTAGTTAAATTATGGAAAAGTTTTGGGTTTATGTGCAAATTCTTTTATTGTGTAAATGTGTAGTTGAAAATGAATATGAGAATTAAAGATCTTTGAAATAATGGTTCTCAAACAGGGGCTAGTTTTCAGATTACACAAATTAAGGAAAGGAAACTAGACAATCACATAAATGAGGGATCCTTGATATTCTTCAACCAATCTAAATAATTCCCCAATACTCTTTAACCAATCAATTACAGAATCTGGAATTACTTCAGAATAAACTCACGAGCATTTCAGGATAAACTCCAATACCAGGTATACTAATAGGGGATCTTATATAGCGAATTTCCTTGAAGTCCTAAAGAACATATGGTGCTTGCTTTTACATGGCAAAAGAAATTACAAATCACATTATATAAAAATTTGTGCACCGATGTCCAATTTTTAGGATACTCTTTGTAACGCCCCAAATTTTATTGATTTAAATATTGAGGTGTTACCAATATCATTTCATAATCATACATAAAGCGGAAAATATCAAATTGAAGGTTTAAACTTGAATAAATTTAAGCACTCATAATATCCAAATTAATTTAACCCAAAAATTAAATCAGAACTTAAAGCATCAAATAGAAATTTAAGAAATACTAATCTC